GGAGGTGGTGGTTTTCCTGGAGGGCATCCCGGAGGTGGTGGTTTTCCTGGAGGACATCCTGGAGGCGGTGGCTTTCCAGGGGGTTTCCCTGTTGGCCCACCAGGACACGGAGTAGCAGGTGGAGGCTTTGGACCGGTGCCGGCATGGTTGGGAGGACTGATGGCGCAGCAAGAATCCATACGTGCAGTTGACCTTCCTGCTTTGCCAGAGTTGTCGGAATCCGAAGTCGGGCCATTGGTGGCAGGGGATTGGATCACGACCATTGCCCCATTTCTTCGTGATATGAGCTCCAGCTCGTCTTTGTGGTGGGATGAGGTGCTTCGGGTGGCAGGGGCGCTGTACCGGGTCTGGCTGGAGTCAGAGCCGATGGAGAGGTTGCGCTTGGTTCCTGTTTCTCCTCCAGCATTTCAAGTACCACCTTGGTTGAGGATCGAGCAAAGAGGTTCAGTGGCATTGTTGAAAGCGTTGCCAGAGTCCTTGAGGTCGAAATTGGTGGCACAACGTGAGGTCAGTTCGATCGGCATCATGTTTAAAGTGCTGCGAGTATATCAACCTGGAGGGTTGGGGGAGCGAACCACGTTGTTGAAGCAACTTGTGGACCAAAAGGTTCCTTCGCCTCTGAGTGAGTGGATGCTGGCACTGCGGTCGTGGAGGAGATGGTTGACTCGTGTGCAAGAGCTCGGGATTCAGCCTCCAGATCCGGTGCTGCTTTTGTCTACGTTGGATCGGTTCGCAGCCACCCTAGCTCGTCATTCTCCACAGGTGGCATTTCGACTTCAGGTGACGAGGGCAGCTTTGAGGGTTGACACGGCTCCTACTGAGAGAAGCATTCACCAGTTTTCGGAATCTTTGTTGGCTGAGGGGGAAGCGGTCTTCCACGGGGGCTCCACGTTGCCGATCAAGGAGACGGTGAAGGTGAAGGCTCTGGACGGTGAACAAGCACCTGCAAAAGAGGAGGCTGTGAGGAAGGACCATAAGGAGAAGCACAAGGAGGGCCATGACACCAAAGAAGCCCGTGATGGCAAAGATGCAAAGGGAGGCAAGCATGATTCGAAGGGAGCAAAGAATGATGCCAAGCCGACTTCAGGGGAGAAGCCCGTGTGCCGGTACTTCTTGTCGGAGACCGGGTGCAAAAAGGGTCACAAGTGCAGCTTTCCTCATGAATGGAAGGGCGTCTCCAAGATGGGAAGGTGTTGGAATTGTGGCTCCTCCCAACACATGAGGTCCGAGTGTCCGGTGAAAGAGGCTCCGTTGGTGAAGAAAGGAAACGCTGAAGAGAGGAAGGGCAAGGAGGTTGAGAATAAGCCGGTGGAGGTGCAAGGATCTTCTTCGTCTACGGCTGGCATGTTCTTTCCACCAACGGAGGCCGAGCCAGCGCCAGCTGAGGCATTGGTGAAAGAGGCGGTGCAACTCTTGAAGTCATTGAGACCATCGGTGAAAGCGGTGTCAGTGTGCGCTGTCAACCAAGGTCATGGGCATACAAGAGCACTGTTGGATGGGGGGGCAACACACATCCTTCGTCCGGCGAAGTCAAAGGCGGAGTTTGAGAAGGCTGTGCCGATCAAGGTGGAGCTGGCAGCGGGTGTTGCGACACTACGACAGGTCCAGACGACTGGAACCTTAGTCACAGATTTCGACACACAGTTGATCGTGCCCTTAGGCAAGGTGGTCAAGCTGGGCTATAAGGTGACTTGGGAGAATGAGGAGTTTGAGATCCTTGACCCCAAGGGAATGAAGTTGGATGTGATTTTGGAGGCTGGTTGTCCTACAGTCGACCTGCCAACAGCCCGTCGTTTGATTCAGGAATTGGAGGATCAGGAGATCGAGCTGGACCGACGGGTTCGTGCACTGAGGGCAGGAGATCCGGGTGATCTGTCCCCAAATATTTGGAGGTGGTTGGTGGATCTTCGAAAGTTGTGGCCAGAGGTCCCTGATGAGCTGCTGGCGAGAGTCGTGCCCTCGGGTCAGTGGACAGGAGAGCAGGTTCCCCTCAACCGGCATCAACGGAAGAGGCTGCTGACAGCTGAGTCAGTGGTGCTGCACTTGTTCTCGGGGCCAGACCAGTCATGGTGGAAGAAAAGGTTGGAGACGAGCTCACGAGCCGTGCTGTGCGTGGACAAGATGGTCGATCCAGCTCAAGATCTGTTGTCGGATCAGCTCACCAGCTTCCTGGCGGATATGTGTGAGAGAGGGGCGGTCGATGTGGTTCTAGGTGGACCGCCTTGTCGAACAGTCTCAAAGCTCCGTTTTCGTCAACCTGGTCCACCTCCCCTACGAGCAAGATCTGGACCAGAAAGGTTTGCTTTGGAGAACCTGTCAGATGCCCTTCGAGAACTCGCGTGGAATGATGCGGTCCTTTGGATGAGGCAGTTATGGTTGTACACCCTGGCATCGTCTTCTAGAACACGGCCGGTGTTGTTCCTGAAGGAGAACCCGAGAGATCCCGAGGAATACAAGGGAGTTGATGACCCTGTGGTATACCCGTCTTTCTT